TCAATCTCTTCTCTCTCTCTCTCTCTCTCTCTCTCTCTCTCTCTCTTTCCATTTCTTCACATCAGAGGAAGGAAAAAGAAAAAAAAAGGAAAAATTGTGAGTGTAAGGGGTTTTGTAAAGTTCCAAATTTTCCTTTCTTTGCTGTATTTTCTGGGAAAGTAAAAATGGTATGGTGAGATGTTGTGATATAAGTGAAACATCTCTTGGGTTGTTAAGCTAAACATAGAAATTGACATTTGCATATGATGATGGTGCAGGCAACTAAGGCAAGGGAAAGGGTGTTGAAGGAGAAATGTCCAGCTCTCAGTGAATCCAATTGAATGAAGAAATGTTTCTGAGATGGTGTTTTTCATACACCAAATGAGTTGGAAATTGTAATCAATTTGTCCATTTTGATTAGTGATCAAGGAGAATTAGAACTAAATACAAAGCTTCACTCTCTGATAATGAAATTGTAATTTAGTGTCATTTCCACAATTGAGAACTAAATACAGAACTTGATTAATCAATATTTGTCTATTTTGATTAGTGATCAAGGAGGATTAGAAGAAAAAATAAACACTGCCAATTGATCCAATTGATTGTTCGAACAACTCACAACAGAGGAAGGAAAAAGAAAAAAAAAAAAGGAAAAAAAAGTGGGTTTATTTTCTTTTGCTCTGTTTTTCCTTGTTTCTTTGGTTTTTTGCCCCAAACTCACAACAGTCATATATGCCCCAAACTTTTATATCTATTAAGAAGGGGACAGAACAAGAAGTGCATAGATAGAGAAACAACCAAAAACACACGATCTATTTTTCTTCCACTAAGAATGATCGGATGATTTGAACCCACATGAGGATATATTAGCTAGGTGGGTGTGCAAAGACTTAGTAAGGCGGTGGAGGGCGATGCCAAGGTGGGGGTGGCCTGTAGGGATCGAAATACGGCGGCGGAGGTGGACCGGGACACGGTGGTGGCGGACCGGGTGGTCCATGGTGGTGATGTGGCGGTGGAGGCGGAGGAGGAGGAGACCAGTAATAGGGACGATGACGATGTGACAGCGGCAATGGGCCGTATAAACCTGGTGGCGGAGGCGGCGGCCGTGGCGGACCATCAGGATCCGGTGGCGGTGGATGTGGGTGTCTTCTAAATGCCATTTTTTAACTTGATTTGAGATTTGAGGAGCCGATATAATTATTATAGAGAGAGAGAGAGAGAGCTGAGTTTTGTTTTGGGCGGGAAGAAAGTGAAAGTGAAAGTGAAAGTGAAATTTCATTTTTTTTTTTTATTTCAATTTTCTTTTTTCTTTTTTTTTTTTTTTTATGACCGTTGGATGGGCAACGGCTGATCTACACCGTTGCCCGTAGCCTTGCAAGCAGGGCTTGCAAGGAGAGGATCTGAGCTCGCATTTCAGCCCTATCTTCCTTAAATTGGTTGTCATTAGTCAAAGTTCGTAATCAAATGCAATTTTTTCATTGATTGTACGAATAGCATTTAAAATCTCAAGGATTAGGTCATAAAAGCCAACCCATCAACATCCTATGATTTGGCCAAAGAGGTCCCCATAAGTTGTATACTGCCTCATGTGGCTCTATTAGGAGTTGCCATGACAAAAGATTATTAGGATGGTAAAATCAATCAAATTATCGTGTTTGGATTGTCAAAACTTTGTTTGAGATTAATTTGTTACAAATTTATTTGATATCAATTTGTTCAAAATTTGTACGTTATATATTAAAGTTAAACTTAAGTACATTTTAAAATTCAAGTTCTCAAGTCGAACTTGAATAAACAATTAGCCGACATGATTGGACTAGTTTTCAGCATTATCTGTAAGTAGCAAAGTATGTATGCTTAGCGATTAATTTTTTAATAATAATTACATAATTACTTGCATAAGGCATGACATCCATAAGGATAGTCAATATAAGGTTGAGATTTGTTATGCATAGATTATTGAGGTTGGAACTCGGCACTCAATGTGGACCTGCTTTGAGCACATCTCATTAATACAAATCGTTCATCTTATAGAATTTGTTGAGAAAATTATTTGTACCAAAACTCAGTTTGCTCGAATCATATTTGCTTTAAAAAAATATTTAGACACACTAAGTAGCTGCCGATGTGATCCGAACAAGGGGTTACTAATATTAAATCAATCTAATTTTTAGTATAAATGATTCGCTCAATGAGTCCTACATAATAAACATTTTAAATCGTTAAGATAGATTTAAAATGGGCTCAGAGCAGACAAGATAGTCCAATTGGTAAAGCCAACTAGAGAATCCAATTCTCACATTATTATTATTTTTTTAATCAACAAAAGATATTATTAATAAAATGATAAAGATTACAACACAAGGTGGTTTGGAGACAAAATGCATCATAACAAAAGAAGAACATCCCAACAAAATACAAACCTTCTTCCAAACCCAATCATGTGCAATCCAAAACCATTACTCATTGAATGAAACACTCATTGTCCAACCAGGACTCAACAAAATATTCAAAAGTCTCCCGTTAGTAAAGACAACAAACGTTGGGTGAGGCTTGTCTCCGGAAACCGGATCTTCTACAGTTATTTTTTGCAGAGTAATTTTTTTGAATGATTCAGATTTAATTTTGTAAAAATTAAAGGTACAATAGTACTAAGTTACAGGTATAATAGTATTGGTAATCATTTTTAAAACAATTTCAACTATACAAATAATTATTCCAAAATCACTCTAGAGTTGGACTCTTGTCTCCAAAGGTGGTGTTGGGTCTTGGCTGATTTTGATAATTTGAATTGTTTATTTTATTAGATTTTTTTTGTATAGAGCATTCACGAAACATCAGATTAATTCGATAATTATAATTATATAATTTTATTATATTTATTTTTTTTTCAAATGAATCATAACTATAATTTTGAAAATAAATTTTTTTTTAAAAACAAATATAATAAAATCATATAGTTATGATTATTGAATAAATATAATTTTTTGTACAGCAGATAATTTATATATAAAATTCAACAAAATAAACAATTCAAACTATCGAAATGAATCATGTGATGGGTCTCACAAAACCCAACACCACCCTACAACACCCTGCAGTCTAGGATACAAATCTTAATGATACAAATAGATATGCAAAGAGAATGAATTTTAACCATTAAAAAAATAAAAAAATAAAAGATGAATTACAAATACATCTTCTAAAATTTGCTTTAAAATTTGAATTGCCCCATGTAGTTTGAACAATTATAAATATTCCATTGTCAGAAATTTTTTATTTAACAGAATTAACTAAAAAAATAAAATTTCTAATTGCACTATGCAATAATAAAATTACCTAAATTATTAATTGAAATAAAATTTTGATATCATTAAAAATTGTTAATTGATTTGATGATTTATTAATAAAGTGGGTCAATTGTTATGAAATTCGAAACATCAAGGGGTGGGATGAAATTTCCAGAATCACATAGAATAATTCGTATTTTAAGCAAATCTCATAAATATATTTGTAATTGATGCTTTTAAATATAATATAAAAATTAATGAATATTATTTAAATATAGAAGCGTCTCATTTGAGATTGGGCCTATGGACCCAAGACTATTGGGGCGGCCTGTGTCACAATCACTATGAATCCAAACACTTCTCAGATTCACACCATCCACTGGTGTAAGTATCAGACGAAACTACTTTTGAATAGGCTTTGGAACATTTATTTCCCTCAAGAAGCCATTTTTCTGTTTTTTTACCAATAAATCTCCTTTCATAAATAAGTATTCCAATTAATTTCAAGTTTGTTTATTGATCTTTTAAGTCCTATTAGTGGAGAGTTTGTTTCCGTGTGGTCCTATTTTTTATTTTGATAGTGTTTTGGTAGACAGTTATACTCTTTTATTAATGTGACAAATACAATGTGATAATCCAATGTGGAAAATATTAATGTGACATTCCAACATTATGACACTCAAATAAAATTAAAAACTCGTTAGTGTACTTTTCCTAAATGTAACAATATGATAAGTATAATGTGACTCCAAAACTTTTACTCCAAAAAAAATAAAAACTCTTTAATATATTTTTTCCAAATATGAAACGTAGCGAGTATGATATGACATTTAAAAAATAAATAAAAGTTCCTTAGTATACTTTTCTCAAACGTGACAACATTGCGGATATGCTGTGATACTATAAAAAAAAATTAAAAACTTCTTAACGTACTTTTCCCTAACATGACATGTGACCCTCCAACGTGGTAAATATGATGTGACACTTTAAAAAAATTAAAAACTCATCAGTGTACTTTTCTCAAATGTGACTCCAACATAGTGGGTATGGTGTGATAGTAAAAAACTCTTAAGTGTACTTTTTTCAAATATGATACTCCAATGTGACAGGTAAATGAGTTATTACATAACCAAAAAGACTAAATGGATCACAAAAAAAAATATATGAGACTATATGGATTATAAGTCCAAAATATGGAACTTATTAGTCAATCTCTTTATCTTTTTTCTTTTTCTTTTTTTTTTGTGTTATTCATTTTTAAGAAATAAAATAATAAAAAGTTCAAAAATACCTACCATTTTCATATTGTTTTTATTTGGACGAATTACACTAACAGTCTCTATAGTGTCAGACTCGTGTCACTTTGGTTCCTGACTTTTTAATTGTGACACATTTGATCCTAAATTTTGAATATTGTTCCAAATAAAGACAATTGAAGATACCATTACTCAATTTCAATGGAAAAATCGTCAATTTAATAAAATATAAACTAATTTGACAAAAATAAATATCAAAAAAATATTTTTGAATTTTTAAAAATAATTTCTACCCACAAAAGATAAAATTATGTACAATTGATAAATCTTTTAGACATATTTTTTTTAAATTAATTTTTATTATATGTTTGGATGATGATCATGTAATGAGTGGTTGTTATACTTTTAATGTGTAATTGATATATATGAAATATTTTTAATTTTGGATTTTTTGATTTAATAGATTGATTTAATAATAATATCAAAGTTGTTGCTATATTTAACGTTTAGAAACTAATTTAATGAAAATAAAAAGTAATTATTCATTATATGATCATCATCCAAACACATAATAAAAATTAATTTAGTCAAAAAAATAAAGGATTAATTACCTAAAAGTCCTATCTACATATTTTGTGGTAGCTTAAGTCCTATCTAAAGATTTTTGAACCAATAAATCCTATTTATAAATAAAAAGACATTTTTACCCTTCAATTCAAACAGTTATATATATATATAGTCAATCCCAAGATGGCTGGAATTAAGGCTTCGTTGGGTAGTAGTATTATTAGAGGCAATATTAATAAGTAAACTGCTGTGTCCAAAGCAATACTTATTTGAAGAAGAAGTATTCAATGGACTAGTCATGGGACATACTTGGGAACATTGAGACATCAGTGAAGATCAATACATACCCGAAATAGACTTGACGCCCATTCATTAACAACTGCCTGCAAATTAAAGCCATATTGGTTTGGGCTGTGTGTGACTGACTGGTGCCTTTCGCCCTCGCAAAGTGCCTAACAGCCAAAGCCTTCCCCCCTCGTTAATTATTACTACCAGTATTTATTATTCCCCAACTCTCTCCTCCAACATTTGGCAGCACCTCCACTTCTACGTAATTACAAACAAATCCTCACTGTCTCTTGAATTGATCAAAATCATTGGCTTGTTCTCTCTAGCTTTCTCTCTCATCTTCTCTTGTTTTCAATTTGAACATTATCAGTTCATAATATTCTCATTTTTAATCATGAAAAAAATTGAAAAATTTCTTAAAACCGACAATATTTTTAGAAAAAATTTTCAGAAATTTATTAGTTTTTATAAACTGAAATTATTCTCTGTTTTGAAATTGAAAACATTCTCAGTTTATAATATTCTCAATTTTAATCATGAAAAAAAATTGAGAAATTTTTCAAAAATATCTAGTAAAATTGAGAAAATTTTTAATTTTTTTCAATATTAAAGCTAAGAATATTATCATTTTTTCAATTTTAAACTAATAATATTTTCAATTTTAAAATTATTAAACTAAACACACTGATGATTCAAATAAATCAACAAACAAATAAACTGACTTTTTTTTTTCAAAATAGACCTTTATCAAA